ACTTATGGTAGAGATGAGTATATCTCTCCGGCATTAAGAGACTGAAAATTGGGACTGGCTCCTTGGTGGGCTCCTGAAATCCACACCTGAACATCTTAAAGAAGCAGGCAGAGGGATGCTACTATCTACAATTTTGATAAAAACTAGCTCAGGTCATCCTTTGAGACCATATTAGTGGAGAAGGGTCCCACAAATCTTTTTAGGTAAAATGAAAAGAAAAATTCATTATTAAACGTATTCTTACACTGTTAAGCACTAAAAATTTTATTTTCATCATACTCAGATGAGTTGGAGTAGCACACACTCATTCTAGAAGATTTGGAAACTACAGACAAGTGTAGAAAAGTGAAAAACATTACATCTGCCACGTTACTCTAAAGGCTCTGTTTTATGGTTGGAATGAAAATGAATTTTTTTTTCAATTAAAAAAATGTAACACTTTGCAGGAAAAAAAATACTTCAAATTGACTATAGTCTTACAAACCAGGAGTAAACATTATTAACATTCTGGTGGAGTAAAATGCTTATAGCCTCACGGGAGACTGAAAAACAGGAATGGATTTAAATGACGGTGAATGGCAGGTGAGCGGAATTAGGCCTGCTCATCACATGGGCAGATTCTGTGCCTAACGACAGCAGTGAGCACATGAAGTCTCTCCCTGAGCATCTTTACAACTAGCATAGATCTGTTTTGGGTGAATCCTGCCTCAATCTTCACCAATTCTGCCTGGGCAGGTTCTAAATACTGTGTAGGGCTCATTCAGTGGGAAATTAGTCCTGAGGGATTTTCTCCAGTAATTATCAAGCAAGTTCACTAATTCCATGGATTGAGAGCCTACCATGTGCCAAAACTTTGCCAGATGTTGGGGATGTGATGATGAACCCAAGAAGATGCTGGCAAGAGCACACACACTAAATCAAAAATCATATAAAGAAGTAAAATGTGGGAGGAGCTAGGAGAGGTACACATTTGTGGATCATCTGCTCTGTTGGAAGTTTAGTAAATGTGATCTCATTTAATCATCTGGGACCTGAGGGAGATAATTTGACCTCTTTGAATCTCAACTTCATTTGAAAATCAGGACAGAATCACTGGGAGAGAACATTTGTTAATGGGGCAAACTCTGTTCCAAGGCTTGCTTCACTTAAGTATAAAAATGAGGCACTTTTTACACTTCAGACACTAAACCTTCTTGGTGGCAAAGAGAGCTGGCCTTTAGTGAGTCCACTGTGTTCAAGGTGCATTAGATCCCATTAATCCCAATTCCACCCTTTGAGTTTATGTACCCCATTGTCCCAGTGATGGCTGAGTCAACGAGAGGTTTCATAACTTGACCAAGACCACACAGCTGGAGAATGGCTGCAAGAAGACTCAACCCAGCGGCAATACATTATCTCATAGTGAGGTTCCAGGGGTGTATGTGGCCTTTTGGGAAGGCCTGGGTCAGCTGGTGGTATGTTTGTTATTCAGATTCCAGAATGTGTGCTTTGCTCATAACTGTGCAGTTTGAGAACAGTGACTCATCCCCAAACAAGGCAGGGTTGAATATCAGTTCTGTTTATCTCATACTGCCCTGTGGCACCTGTGTTGACTTCAAAGAAACTTTGTAATAAAAGCACTGTGATAAAAACAGAAAAACACACTAAAAAAATGTACAAGTTTGTTTTTTGGTGCTTCTGACAAGAGAAAACACTCGAGTTCCATTAACTTAAAAAAATGACAACTACTTAAGGTTTAATGACTAAAGCCAATTTTCTAACACATATCTTGTAGAGTTCTCTGAACATAGTTTTCACACTGAACTATGATGTTGTCATTGGTATCTGTTTGATTCCACAAGGGCAGAGACCCTGAAACAGTCACATCTGGATTTCCCTACTGTTTGACCCATCTGACAGCCAGGCAGTATTGACTGAAAAAATTAAAGATGTTTCCACAGTGCCAGCATTAGCTTTCTTTTGCTACTGTAAAGTTATCACAGATTTAGTGGCTTAAAACATCTATATCTCACTTTCTGTGGACCAGAAGTCTGGCTCAGTTGATTCCCTAATAAAGGCTAAAATCAAGGTATTAGCAGGACCAGACTCCTCTCTGCCGACTCCAGGGTGGGGGTGCGGGTGCAGAGGATCTGCTTCCAAGCTCATTCAGGTTGTAAAAACTCAGTCCCATGAGGTTATGGGGCTGAGGTCCTGTTACTTGCCGACAGGGCTTGTTTTACAGATTCTAGTGGCTGCCTACATTCCCTGGCTCATGGCCCCTCCATCAACAGTGTGTTGAGTTCCTCCTTTCAAGCTTCAAGTCTGATTCTTTTCCTGACTCTACTCTCCAAAGCATCTCTTCTGCCTTCCTCTTCTACTTTTTAAGGGTTCATATGATTACACTGGGCCCAACCAGATAATCCAGGATAATATCCCTATTTTACCATCCTTAATTCCATCTGCAGTGTCCCTTTTGCTGTGGAACGTAACACATTCGCAAGTTCCAGGGACTGCGACATAGTTTTCTTCTTTTATTGTGGGTGGGGGCAGGACATTATTCCGCCAACCACAGTGCCTGTACTAAACATGTACATTTTAGAACGAATCTTCTCCAGTTACTCTTTGGAGGTCAGAGAAGGGCAAAGCTACTCAAGAAGATATTTGAAACAAGCCAAATGACTTGTCAAAGGTATCTGTGTCAGCTGCAGGTTAAACACCAACCAATCCTTTGTAAAAAATCAGGTCAGGTAATTTTTTTGGTCATGGAGGTGGGGTTCTTCCTTTCACCTTATTGGGGTGAAGTTAGAAGAGGACAGAAGATTTAGAAACATGCCTTATTTCACCTTCTACGGTCTGTTCACTTTGCAGGATTTGCACTAGCTCTCCCATGTGCTAATACCAGAGAGTGGAGGGTTTACTTCCTCACAGAGAAAAACTTTCAAATGTGGCCACTGACCCTGCCTCCCTAATTTTAAAGAACCAGCCACTATCCAGTTTAGAACTGGTTCAGGAATGTTTCTAGAACGTTGACTGATTCAACAAATAGGCACAGGAAACCTATGTGTTACTCTGAACCTCACTTCATTTCATGCTCTGCAACCAAGGCTCAGAGAGGACAAGTGCCATGCTCATTGCCTCTCAGCTGGAACCAATTATTAAACACTTGCTCTATGCCAAGAGCCAAATTAAATGCACCTAATGGTAAGGTCCCCTCTTCACACCCTTGTACAACCTGCCAGGTGTTTTACGTTAATTTTAATCTCAATAATGTTGTGAGATACTAGACTAATGTAGATTAGAAAAATTGAGGCTGAGAGATTGATTCTCTGTAGGCCAATATCCATGGAGTGGCTTAGCCAGGATTCCAGTCTAGGTCCATTTGACTACAGGCTGTGTATTCTGTCTAGGGTATTACCTCTAAATAGGCCTCAGGTGCATTCTGATAAGTATGGCCCCAAAGTCCAACTTCTTTACACTACCCGTAATTGTATCACCAAGTTCACCAGGCGGTAAGAAATACTGTAGGTTGTGGGTGCGGCTTCTGCAAACATATAGCGGCATGAAAATACAGAAGGAAATGCGGAACTGACTAGGTCCATCAATCGTGAAATAACCGTTTTACTGGTATGAGTGTCTTTTTGTCTCATTATTATGCGGCAGTTGAGTCATTTAGGGGAGGGCCAAAGGGAAAGTCCTGTCTCATCACCTACAAGAAGTGTCGGTGAGAACCACTTAGGCGGAGAGAGACACAAAGTGTGCATCGGCTTCCGATCCCCACGCTTACCCGCGCGGCGGCACCAAGGCGAGAAGCGCAGAAGGGGTTAAATGCAGCTTGGGGGGAAGGGGGACGCAGCCACCGCCCCTTCCCAGCATCACCTCCCAGAATGCCTCAGGCCCCCAGCCAGTTCCCGCACCTCGCGAGACTCCGCCCAGCCCCTTCCCCGAACGACTGCCCGTCCCCCTTCCTTACCGAGCTCTGCGCGGGGCGGAGAAAGGGAGGGGAGGGCGGAAAAGACGGACCGCGAGGC